ACACACACACAAAAACAGTGGTCTGCAAAAACTGCAGAGTTCAATGCAGTGCAAGTATCTTAATACACTGTAACAGAATTTTTAAAGGTTTTAGATTTATAGTTTATAAGATGCACTATAGGCAAACAAATTCATAACGAAATACACACTCCGTATATCTTTTTTTTAAAGCCCTTTGCCGATCTTGGGAACATAAAACTTCTGAAACTGCAAATTTCTAACATCATACCTTTGAACTCTGGCCCAAATCCAACTAAAATTAGGTACAACCAATTTGTACTATGTTATGACCTTGTGAAGCCCATTCCAGTGGCTAAATTAAAAAAAAAAACTCAGAGGAAATTGGATAATAAATAGCTACCTTGGGAAGTCTTATTTCTTTCACAGCATATTTCTGATTTTTCTCTTTGTGATGGACCAAAAGAACTCGCCCAAATGATCCTTCTCCAAGTATTTTTAACACATTGTATTTTTCCATGTTTTATTGACTGCTTTGCTATTTTCGGAGGTCTCTTCAAAACTCCAATAGTTTGGATTTTCTCCCCAACTTGGTATATGCTATGTGCAAACAGCAAAAACAATAAAAATATTAAATTTGACTCCATGTGGAACTAGCCAATTCTTATGTATGCAAGAATTCCTACCGCCACGTCTTCCCTCTCAACATCCATGCCAAAAATCTATTCATTTTGTTCTCAAATTTCAATTGTCTTCTGCTGTCTGCTTAATGAGAAGTTGTATTATATAGTATAGTTAAACTTAAAACCTTTTGGCATCTTATATATGGCTGGCTCTCCTGTAAGACATTTTTTAAAAAAGGCATTTTAAAGTGCAAAATTGTACTACTGTATTATACTGTCATCTTTCAGTTTACACAAATTATCAAGCAGACATTAAAAAAAATATGCAAAGCACATTGGAAATCACTTATACATGAAGTTTATAACTTTTTTAAATGAGTAAATTAATAAATAGTGATCAGAATCTAATATTTTTCCCCAGTCAGTGAAACCATGTATATCATAATGCCAAATAGCAGTTAATTAATGAGGTCATGTGCTATCAGGCTGCAATTCGCTACTACGATATATAGAATTCCATCTATTCTGGAGTAAAATCCCTGTAGGATTCCAATCATTAACTAGAATAGAATGAACAGAATGAACACATGTTTTCATTTATTTAAACATTTATAGCTGACCACATGCCACAGGATTTCAGGGCAGGTTACAAACTGAATAAAACAATTTAAAATCAAACAGCACAACATTCAAACATTATAAACATTGCACTGAAACCTTTGAAAGCCACAATCCTCAACCCCAAAGGTTCTAATAAATACGTAACTATGTCTTGACTTGGTGCAGAAATTATGCCAACGTCAGCACCAACTGAGCCCACGAGGGGAGGGCATTTGGGCTGCAGCAGCAGGAAAAGCCCTCCCCTGCAAATATGAAGATGAATAGAAAGATTCCAGTCACTCAGCATCAACCCTTTATTAAGTGTTTTTTTTTTTGCTTGCATGGACTAGACAGCAGCAAGCGATGAACAGGGTGAAGCCCACCGCTCCCAAAGATCTATGTACAAATAAGCATTTTGGCTGGCTCAGTATGCTTTATCAACAAGCAAGTCTTTCGGGGGGGGGGGGAANATGTTCCACTTTGCCTTTAAAATACAGACAGGTGCCCGGCCAGTCTACAGTTCTGTAGCTAAAGAAAAGATTCCAGCCAGCTGGGAAAGGGTCCTATTTGCAGTTCTAACTAGCAGACAGGCACATGATTTCACCTTAAGGAAGCAAGCCACATTCACGTAAGAACTGATCCCAGGCAATACATTCTTCCCTTGTTTGTAATTTAATTCACGTGTGAGTGAACCACTCTTGTGAACTGAAGTGCTGCTTGTACAGCGTGTCAGAATGTTTATGTGCTTGCTCATAGATTTTATCCACCTGCAGAGCCTTTTGGCGCAGTGCTTAAACTGCACTACTGCAGCCAAGACTCTGTTCTGAGTTCGATCCCAGGATCAGGTAGCTGGCTCAAGGTTGACTCAACCTTCCATCCTGCCGAGGACAGTAAGCTGAGCACCTACCTCACTGGGAGGCAACAGGCAGCTCACATAATCAAACTGTAAACCACTCAGAGAGAATCTTAAGTGCTATGGGGTAGTATATAAGCAGCACGCTTTTTGGTTTGCTTAGCTCCTTGAAACATCTGGCCTTAGCCGGGATGGCCAATGTGTGATTCCACAGGAGTCATTAGACTTCAATTCCTCTCATCTCTCACCATTTCTTCTCTTTCAGGGACGAAGGACTTGTAGTCCAGCAATATGTGGAAAGCAACATGTTTATCGCTATGGTTATCACTGAGTACAGTAGATATAACTACTCAAGCCCCGCCTGACTGTGTGACTGGCAGTCGCTTGGGGAAAGTACACAAGTTGTTTGCCCCGGATAGATGTTCAGGGATGAGTAGTTCAAGGATGATTAAGAATTACTCAGGTTAGACAGCTCTAGCACACGCTTATGCTTTGATGCCTAATTCTGCTCTCCTCTGAAGCCTGATACTGCTGTTTGTTCATTAATGAGATGCACTATCATTTTGCTAGTCCGTAAAATATAAATTCCCAGTGTGGTGTAGTGCAGTGATCCCCAACCTTGGGCCTCCAGATGTTCTTGGACTTCAACTCCCAGAAACCCTGGCCAGCAGAGATGGTGATGAATGCTTCTGGGAGATGTAGCCAAAGAACATCTGGAGGCCCAAGGTTGGAGATCACTGGTGTAGTGGACAGAGTGATGGACTAGGACTCTGGAGAACAGGATATGAATCCCTCACTCAGCCATGAAGTATCACTGGGGGAGTGAAACAGGTAAACTCATTCCTTAAATATCACACTTACCTTGAGCGCCCTGTTAGGATCATTATTAGTTCCGACTTGACAGTACAGAACACGCACACACAAAATATAAACATCAAGAAAGTTGGAAGCATCTACCGTGTTTCCCCGAAAATAAAACAGGGTCTTATATTAATTTTTGCTAGGGCTTATTTTCAGGGGATGTTTTTTTTTCATGTACCGTACAAGCATCTACATTTATTCAAATACAATCATGTCATCATCTTCTGGTTGCTGCACAAGGGTGGAGGGCGGGGTTTCACTTAACTGCGGCTTATTTTTGGGGTGGGGCTCATATTATGAGCATCCTGAAAAATAATACTAGGGCTTATTTTCAGGTTAGGTCTTATTTTCAGGGAAACAGGGTAGATATGCTTAATGATCAGGTGCGCTTACTACTAGTGTCCCAAAAAGTATGTAGAGCCCAGAGACTTTGGTACAGGGAACCTCAATGAAGACCTAGATACAGTAAAAGGAGGTGCAATAGAGCTACTGATTCCAGGTGTTGCCACTGATATTCTTCAGGGGTTCCCAAGTAAGTAAAAAAGACATGGGGTTTCTCTCTACTATTTTACTGTTTATGCTTTCTGTTCTACTGTCTCTTTAACCGTTTTTTCCACATTTCCTCCAGTGTGCTCCTTGTCTCTGAATCCAAAAGAACCTTTTGTCTGCCTTGACAAGACACCCCCCCCCAAACCAGTGACTGTCTCAAAGTTTCTCCCAATGGCCTGCACGTTGCAGTTTATGTGCAGTACTGACACAATTTTTCTAATTTCCAGATAATGTAGAACCAGTGAAATGCCACAGAGGATCACACTCCTACACTACCTAGGGAATCTGCAGTCAAATCCCCAGTCAGCCATGGAAACTCCCTGAGGGGTGGTGGCAATGGTAAACCACTCTTTAACCGTCACAAATACAGAACATCCTAAATCTTATTAGTGTTTCTGGTTGGGAGTTTCAATTTAGGGCTATTCTACCTAAACCCAAACCCTTCATGATTAGCCTCCCCCATACATTTGTGGGCTTGTAAACCATTACAGGTGTGCCCTTAACTAGAAATCCCAGCCCAAAGCGCCCTGAGGATACCAAGAACCATAGGGCGGTCCCCAGACCGGGTGAAATAATTGGGGTGTGTGTGTGTGTGTGTGTTATATATGAGATTTCTAAAAGAAATAAAAATACTGTAGGGCAGATGGAGGGAAAACCCAGGAAGGCTTCCCCCCTTTTAACCCTCGTTCTCAAACCATGAATACCTCCTCTGAAGTCCCTTCGGAGCCTTTCCGAGTGAAGAACGGAGTAAAAAAATGTGATTAAGTAAATAGAGAGTAAGATACAACTTTTTTAACAAGAAACGCTCTCAATAAAATCCAGCACTTGGACGTGGCGTCTAGGAGGAAGTCGCCGGGTTGGGGGGGCGAAGGGCGCCCCGCTTTCTCTAAGGTCACATTTCGAGCACAAAAGTGTATGTGTGTGGGGGGGGGGA